TTCTGTCCTGGACTGAAATCAATTCTCAGGAAGATGAGTTTGGGATAAATAAAACACTCCTCTGGTCAAAAGTCTGAAAACAAAAGGATAAAAAAGCAACAACATCTCACATTCATTAAAATTTCCTGTCAATTTTGTCCAGCTTGGATTCCCATTCCACTTGAACTCATCTTCCTGAGAATTGATTTCAGTCCAGGACAGAATTACTGTCTAAACCCACCAAATTCCCAGAGAAGTCTTCTGACAGCAGGACTTCAGGAGAGAGCCTACAACTTCCTGGGTGATTCCTTTACTCATTGACTTCAGGGTCTGCAAAACAGAGTTCTAAGATCAGGGAAGGTTGCTCGGCAATCATTAATATCGTCTCTTCAAGTAATTTTTCCCAGTAATTACAGTGATAAACCCTTTCTCATCTTGAAATTGATGCTTATCTGCTTCTCCACAATCATTTGATTTCAGGTGAAAGGAGGAGGTGACTTATAGAACACATTGAATTTGACTTCAGTAATTAGTGGTGGCTCACAACTCAGGTCCTGCTGAATAAAATTACAAAAGATCAATGATCCTTTTCAGTTTAGAAAGTGTCCAAACAATTTGACCTCTTCCAGCTTATCTCACATAGTCTCTAAATATAGATTTGTATTCTCAATATGCCTCCAGTCTTGGGAAAAGAAAGACAATTTCCAAATAAGCTTTACTATGATGGAGATAGGAAACAGATACAACATAAACACAAAAAGTAGACTTGCATGAAGAAAAATCAGAGTTAACATTTTGATTCCAGTGACCCTTCATCAGAACTGATAGTTAAAATGAGGTGAAAATGAGGTTACAAGGTGTAGAGCTGGATGAACACAGCAGGCCAAGCAGCATCAGAGGAGCAGGAAGGCTGACGTTTCGGGCCTAGACCCTTCATCAGAAATGGGGGAGGGGAAGGGGGTTCTGAAATAAATAGGGAGAGAGGGGGAGGCAGATAGAAGATGGATAGAGGAGAAGATAGGTGGAGGAGACACACAGGTCAAAGAGGCGGGGATGGAGCCAGTAAAGGTGAGTGTAGGTGGGGAGTTAGGGAGGAGATAGGTCAGTCCAGGGAGGATGGACAGGTCAAGGGGGCGGGAGGAGGTTAGTAGGTAGGAGATGGGGGTGGGGCTTGAGGTGGGAGGAGGGGATAGGTGGGAGGAAGGACAGGTTAGGGAGGCGGGGACCAGCTGGGCTGGTTTTGGGATGCGGTAGTGGGACAGGAGATTTTGAAGCTTGTGAAGCTTCCGACCCCACCACCAAAGATATTTTTCCCTCCCCACCCTTATCTGCTTTCCAGAGGGACCACTCTCTCCGGGACTCCCTTGTCCGCTCCACACTCTCCTCCAGCCCCACCACACCCGGCACTTTTCCCTGCAACCGTAGGAAGTGCTACACCTGCCCCTACACCTCCCCCCTCACCCCCATCCCAGGCCCCAAGAAGACTTTCCACATCAAGCAGATGTTCACCTGGCTTGGGGACTGCTTTGCAGAACACCTACGCTCGGTTCGCACTAAACAACTGCACCTCCCAGTCGTGAACCATTTCAACTCCCCCTCCCATTCCTCAGATGACATGTCCATCCTGGGCCTCCTGCAGTGCCACAATGATGCCACCCGAAGGTTGCAGGAACAGCAACTCATATTCTGCTTGGGAACCCTGCAGCCCAATGGTATCAATGTGGACTTCACAAGCTTCAAAATCTCACCTCCCGCTACCGCATCCCAAAACCAGCCCAACTCATCCCCGCCTCCCTAACCTGTCCCTCCTCCCACCTATCCCCTCTTCCCACCTCAAGCCCCACCCCATCTCTGACCTACTAACCTCATCCCGCCCTGTTGACCTGTCAGTCCAGAGAGGACGGACCTATCTCCTCCCTACCTCCCCACCTACACTCACCTTTACTGGCTCCATCCCCGCCTCTTTGACCTGTCTGTCTCCTCTCCACCTATCTTCTCCTCTATCCATCTTCTATCCACCTCCCCCTCTCTCCCTATTTATTTCAGACCCCCTTTCCCCTCCCCCATTTCTGATGAAGGGTCGAGGCCTGAAACGTCAGCCTTCCTGCTCCTATGATGCTGCTTGGCCTGCTGTTTCCTAGCTACCATCAGCTCTGCAGACCTGCTAAGCTTTTTCAGCAACTTCTGTCTTTTTTCCTGATTTACAACATCTGCAGTTCTTTCAGTTTGCACAATCATTCATCTCCAGTTATTCATTTGCACAAAATGTATAGCTGTATCACCCTTTAAATCTCCAAACTATTCCCACATGATTACATCATTAATAGTCATTCTGATAACATGGTGAAGATCGAGGATATAAGACTTTTAATATTTTTTATGTTCTTCTCAGGAGTTGTAATATACCAATACATCTTCCATTTAAACTACACCATTAGGTTCACTGGTTACAACTCGGCTCTTAATATTTTTTCCAAAGTAGCTGGGGCAATTTTAAACTCGAATGGCAAGATTTGAAATTGATATCCATTTGCTGCAATCAAAGGTGATAAATACTTAGTTCATGATGTCAACGGTCCATTGAATAAATCAATGAATCTCTTTTAAAAAAAAATCAATAAATTTCTTTAACGAATCAACCTTAGTAAAGAAGCGTAAATGTGTTGCAGTGCACACCCTCAAACGAACAAAAAAGGATTGAAAGGTTGAATGTGTCATATAATGTGAAAAGGTCTTGGCAATGCTGCTTCGTGACAGACTGTAGCTGGGACATGCCTGTAAAAGGCAAAGGGGGCGGGTAAACAGGCAGCACTAATCAATCCATCATCACTCACATTATTCGATGTGCTACTAGTGCGGTCTGCTTATCATGGCGGCGGTTGAGAGTGCGACCCAGTTCCAGGAGGTGCTGGAAAAAGCTAAGAGGTATGTTCGGGGCCGTGGGGGTGAAGTTTGGAGATTTCCCGAAAAACGTGCACACCATTTCCCCGGGGTGATGGAAGCGGCAGCGGCCTCCTTTCCCCACCTCCCTGGGGATGGAAAGGCCGGTGTGCGGGCACATTGCTGAGGCCCAAGGAGCTCCTTCCTTCAGTCTTTCCCGTGGAGTTTCCGGGCTGAAGGAAGCCGGCGGATTTTCAATGCGGGATCCGGCCATGGAGCGGTGGAAAGGCACTGATGGAGACTCGGGCGGTGAACCTCAGACACACGAAGCTGTTCTTCTGACCTCAGCACATTGTTGCTGACTGGGGTTGGGTTTGGAGAAGAAGGATTGCGCGAATCGAAAATATAAACGAGAGCCGATTCGGTATAATTAACCATGGATTTAACTTTTTTTTTTGAAAATAAGTGAGTCGTAAAGAAACTGGCAGTAACTTCCAACTACCTTTGCCTTCATCCGAATGCGTTTGACCGGCTCGGGCGGGTGAATTCTTTATGTGGGTGTTATCTCCAGTCAAGGAGTATTTACACAGACATTGCGATGAGGAAATGGGCTGCTGCATCATTCACTTTGTCGTTATTTATTTTCTGCGTAGGAGTAACAGTGGTCCCGATTCTTGTCATTCTCAAATAACAGGGGAAACAATGATTAGATGCTGTTGAGTTTATATTTAAGAATCTTGGTAGGGAAGATTAATGGAGACAAAAGATGGGATGACACATTGTGGAGCTGGAGGAACACAGCAGGCCGGGTAACATCAGAGGAGCAAGAAACTTGACATCTCGGGTTGAGACCCTTCAGAAATGGGGCGGAGGATGGGAGCTCAGAAATAAATGGAGAGAGGAGGGGTGGGGCGGGGGAGGGTAGGTGGGGTGGTGATAGGTAACTGCAGGTAGGGAGTGGTGGGGATTGGTCAGTGAGGTGGGAGTGGTGGATAGGTGGGAGAGAAGATGGACAGGTTGTGTCAGGTCAAGGTGGTGGGGATGAGAGGGAAGGTTGGACATGAGATGAGGCCAGTTTAAAACTGGTAAATCCATATTTAGGCTGTAGGCTTCTGAGGTGGAATATGAGGAGCTGCTCGTCCAGTTTGTGCGTGGTGTCATTGTGACACTAGAGGAGGCCCAGGATGGACATGTCACCCAGGCAGTAGGAGGGGGAGTTAAAATGGTTGGTGACCAGAAGGTGTTGTCGTTTGTCACGAACAGAACTCTGATGTTCTACAAAATGGTCTCCAAGCCTCCGCTTGGTTACAGTGACGCCACCGACAAACTGGAGGAGCAGCACCTCGGGGGGCCTACAGCCCAATGGCCTAAATGTGGATTTCACCAGTTTCAAAATCTCTCTGGCCCCGGCCTCATTCTATGATCAACCCTCCCTCTCAACCCCACCTCCTTGACCTGATGCAACCTGACAATCTTCGCTTCCACCTATCCACCCCTCCTACCTCACTGCCGAATCCCCACCACTCTCTGCCTGCATTCACCTATCACCATCCCACCTACCTTCCCCAGCCCCAGCCCTCCTCTCTCTCTATTTCTGAGCTCCCTTCCCTATCCCTGTTTCTGAAGAAGGGTCCCAACCCGAAACGTCAACTTTCCTGCTCCTCTGATGCTGCCTGGCCTGCTGTGTTCCTCCAGTTCCACACTGTGTAATCCCTGACTCCAGCATCGGCAGTTCTTACTATCTCCTGGAGACAAAAGCTGACAGTTTTACAATCCTAGAAAGAACGAGTTCAAGTTCAAGACCTGGTTTGACAAAATTACTGAAAGCAAGTTGTGCATAATTTGCTAAAATTGTGAGCTTCTGCAATACAGTGTTTATTGTCTCTTTTGGTTTTGGTTAGTCTTTATAAACTTAACATCAGTGGCATGTTTTAGAGACTGTTAGCTTGTTCTGTCACCTGCAGCCAAACTGCTCATAAAGTATTAATCTAGTTAATTTGTAAACAGCATGTACTGAGCAAATTAGTACTATTAAAAATGAAGTTCATTTATGTACAGATTGCATGAACAACTATTATTATAATCAGTTGGATGTTCTTGTCAATCTGTGGCAAGCAGAATATATACTTCAAAATATGTTGATCAGCCCAGATACTGAACAGGTTATATGGTGAAAATTATGGGATATAGAGAAACTGTAAATTTCTTTATTTTGATATCAGCAAAATGAAGGTGCATAGAAGAGGAAGAACATTTGCAATGTTATACTTGCATCCAGATACCCCTAAATTATAAGTTCTTAAGAGTCCTCTTAGCATTTCTTTGCACATTTTAGGATGAAATTGTTTGCAGGCTACTAGTGATTAGTGAGATCTTTCTGTGACTATCAGATTCAGCCACAGTGGGTGGAAGTGAAGGTGTAGTTGCTACTGGGGAGAATTGGACCCGCCTTCTCGTCTTTCTCTTTCATGCTGGTTGTTCACTCAATCTCAGAAGGGTTTATAGTACACCTGATTTAGCATCTCTAGGCATCATGTCCTGTGATCTGAGCTTCCCACTCGTGATGGTCGATGTAGTACACAGAAGGACTTCTCAGGGTGTCCCTGAAATGTTTGCACAGAGCTCCACTGTTTTGATTTACTGGTGGTCAGTTTTCCATACAGCACGGTCTTGATCAGTTGTCATCAGATGCCGGTGATGTTGGCTATTTCTAGAACTTCAGTGTTTGTGATGCAATCCAGTGTTTGAGGATGCTTTGGAGGCAGCCCTGGTGAAAATGTTCTAGAAAACATGTAGACCCGTGATTTGGTGCCGTACAGAAGAGTACGGAGGAACACAGCCTGGAGTACTTCAGTTTTAGACTGTACTGTAAGGCTGTGGTTGCTGCACACGTATTTGTAGAGTCTGTTGAATGTGCAATTTGCTTTAGAAAACCTGTTGTTTGCCTCCTTGTCTCTGGTAGCACCAAACAGGATAACACTTCCAAGTTGGTGAACTGCTTGACAACATTCTGCTTGGTTCCCTCTGTTCCAGTGCTTGGTCTATATTCTTGGGGTGCAGGCTTATGCTGGACTTCAGTTTTCTTTAAATGGACTTAAGTCTGAAGACTTGTGCCAGCTTTGAAGAATGTGTTGCTATGCATGCAACACAGACAGTGGACCAGGAGAGCACAGTTTATTGGCAAAAAGAAATTTAATGAATTGTTTTTTTTCCAGGGTCTTTGTGTGAGTCTGAAGATGACTGAAATGGAAAATATTGTTTTAGTTTGCATGTTTGAGTAAACCTCTGTCTTCAGCTCTTCTTTTGCTTGTTCAGCATCACGCTGAACATGATGGCGAATAACCTCAGGGCCAGCACATGCTCTGCCTTAAGCCATTGTGATTTGAAAGGGACTCGAGGTCACTGTTTTGATTTATCTGTATTGATTTTCATGAAACTGCTTCACTATAGCTAGGAACCTAGGTAAGTATCCCAAGTTTATCAAAATTTTTTCAAATTCCAATTCTGCTCACATTTCAGAGACCTTGGTGAGGTCTACAAAAGTGATGTGCAGGCCTTTGTCTTGCTCTTGACACTTTTCTTGTACTTGTCTGAGTGAGAATACCATATCTGTGGTACTGCAAATACTGCACTAGCTCTCTGGGAGGTTTTCTTTGGCATGAGGCGGCATGGTGGTGCAGTGGTTAGCACTGCTGCCTCACAGCACCAGGGTACCTGGGTTCAATTCTACTCTCAAGCTTCTGTCTGTGTCGAATTTGCACATTCTCCCCATGTCTGTGTGGGTTTCCTCCCACAGTCCAAAAATGTGCAGGTTAGGTGGATTGGTTGTCAACATCAAGAGGACACAATACACCTGATACACTGGCCATACTACCATGTATCAAGAACATATCGGAACTGACACTGAAACTCCTATGACTACTAGGAATCAGGATAGCACACAAACCCACAGTCACACTATGACAAACAGTTACAAGCACCAAAGACCCCATACCATGACATGCACGACTAATGTAGTGTGCAAAATACCATGCAAGGACAGCCAAAACATTACCTCGGCCAGACAGGAAGGAAACTAGCCATCTGGATACACAAACACCAGCTAGCAGCAAAGTGACACAACAAACTTTCCCTCACTTCAGTACGCTCGGACAACAAAGGCCATCAATTTAACTGGGATAACGTGACCATCCTAACCCAAACCAACCATAGACACACACAGCAATTCCTACAGGCCAGGTTCTCCACCCATAATGCAATTAATAAACATGTAGAATTAGACCCCACATACAAACCCTTGAAAAAAAAAGCCGGAAATGACACAAAACACCTCAACAGACCAGATCATATAAATGCTAAGCAGAGTAGAACAACATCACTTCATTGGAGGTGGCACTGGTGATGTTACCAAGCATGATGACAAGACATCTGAACTACAACCAGCCAGCTTGGTGAGCAAATCAACAACCTCACGCACAACCCAAGCTACAAATCTTCACAAGAACCTTTCATCTAGTTCTCTCTTGACATGCTGTTGTTGATGGTACTATTCTATATTGTGCAGTTGACATTGAAGAGTATTTCAATGTACTCTGACCAGAGGTCCAGGGTTGACTTGCTAGTGTGTACTATCTTGGCGTTGCTGCTCCTCAGAACTTTTGATTTGACACGCTGATTCACAGATGTTAGTGCGTCATAAAAGTTTCTGATATGCTTAGTATGGGCAACTGGTTAATGTTTTTCCATAAGTATGATCCATGGTTTACCTTTTTAACCATGCTGCATGGTTGAAGTTGGCTATCTTTTTCTCTTGGCTGGCCAGCTGAGTCTTATAAGCATGATTTCATTGCCAGGAGATCATCAAGAAGAACAGGGACAGGTTTGATGCTGTGTCTGATCTCATTGGAAGTACCCTGTACTGCAGCTTTGTGTTCCCACAGTTCAGTGTGTCAAAGGTGTTCCAGCATGGTCTATCTCTGCACAATTAGGTTTGCAGATCGTTGACTCAGTTTCTTTAGGCTGTGTCTAAGTTTGTTCTTGGTCTCAGGGTCAGCATAAGTTCAACTTTATGTGAATGTGTCGGTGGTCAGTATGACAGTCGGTGCTGGCTTAATTCTAGCTCCAGGAGATTCTAGTTGAAAGTTCTAAACAGCACGAACTACAATGTTGATAAAATGAAGTTAACAAGGTGAAAGGCTGAAAGTGAAGTTTTACCTATCAAATATTTTGATAACTCCTGTTCTAAAATGAAAGAGATATCTTAACACTCTCTAACTAGTACGTTGATGTGCTGCAATTTCGTACAGTTAAGCATTGAGAAATCCCAGCCTTTAACCATTGTCATGGTCTTTGTAACCATGTTACTGATTTCAGCCCCTCCTGTCTACTGTCTCAGACTGAACCAGATTTAGTTGCAACCCCAGTAGCCTATTACCTCTTGAGCTAAGCAGCTGACCCCATATTCTCTCAGTCACAATGACCATCTATTTTCATGTCTGTAGCATCACTTAAACTGTCTGTACCTCAGCCTACTTTCTGCTGAAACTTTACCCAAGCTTTTGTCACCATCAGGCTCAACGGTTTCAATATTCTTGTCCAGTCCCATGCTTGCTTCTAAAATCTAGCTCATCCAAAACTCTTGCCTGTATCCAATCCCAAACGAAATCCTGCTCATCTCAGTTTCCACTGACATAGGCTCTCGTCTCTTCACTTTACCCAATTTTTAAAAATTCCAATCCCTGCAATCTTGTCTTTCCCCAGCACTAATGACTCTACAACATTTTACAGTTCTCTGGTTTAATTATGCACTTTAGGAACTCTATCTTGTCTTGAGGAAATGGAAGCCACAGTCAAGTTAATTGTTTACCCCTCTGTTCCAATCTTGTCCCCCTCAATTCTTCTATCCTCATTTCCCCTCTATCTTCTGGGTTCAGTTATCCCCTGTCTAGCACAACTTGCCTTGAATCATTGTTTTCTTGTTTTCCCACACCTAGTAGAGCATGAGTTAGATAAAACATCTACTGACATCTGTTTCCATTTTTTTTCCCTCTGGAACAGGTCACCATCTGTCTTCAGAGGCTATAGCTTGAGGGATGCCACTCAAAATCAAGTGTGACTGACTGGACCACTTTCCCACCTCTACTGCCTGTCACAGCCATATTGAAATGATTTACAGGTTGATAGTAAACCTGTTCATCCCTGTTGTGTACATGCCTTCTGTGGCGATCAAATGTTGGAGTAGGATTTGAGCTCTGGGTTTCTCAGTAAGAATGCTAACCACTGCCCCACAAAACCACCTCCCTTGAATACTGCAGATTATTGCTAAAAGCATAAGTACATTTAAGACTTATGGCATATTAATTTTCTTTTGGGTAGCTTGGAATGAAAAGGATAGTGCAATTTTATATACAGGTCATATACCATACCTGAAGTGATACACTGCCCATAGCTGAATGAATCTTGGAGAATATTTATTGTCTTTAATAGGATCCTGTGGTTGTTGCAGATTCATCAGAACATTTAGTTAAGCTAAAAAGTTACATTGAAGCTAGGGTCCACAGATCGCTTATTTCCTCAACTGTTGATTGAAGAAGATTGATATAATTGAAGTGTTTAAAATGATTCCAGGGTATGGAAAAGTAGGTGAAGAAAAAGTGTTCCTGCTGGATGAGTCCAGAACATGGGAGTTTAACCTTACTTCAGAGTGCGCTATTCGGAAGAGGTGTCAGGATGAATGTCTGAGCACAAACAGTAATAGAATTATAGAGCTGTTTGCCTTTCTTCCAAAAGGCTGAGATTGATATATTTAGTATTGACCTTCAGGGATACGGAACAATTTGAATAAAGCTAGTTAAGATGCAGGTCAGTTGTGCTCTAAGTAACTAGTGGAACGACTGACAACAATGAATAGCCTATTTCTGTTTCTGATTTTGGCTTCCTCCGTGCAGTGATAAAGCAGGTCAACTGGTATGGAACACTAAATGAGTGGGAATACAATATAAGAATTCTGTAGTCCTAAAGGTAAATCCGAAGGTACAGTTATCAACACAGAGCATTTACCTTGGCTAATAATACTGATCATATTACATAACTATAACTACTAGCTACATTGAGGTTTATTGTATAATTGGACTTTAAGTCAAAATGATCAGAGTAAAGCTGGCAATAAAGCTTGTCATTAAGGTTGGATAAAATGTTCAAGGTTGTTAAGCTGTAAAGATGGTAGAAAACCGGTTCATTCACTAAGGTCAGACTTCAGTCTCTAGGCGTATTTGTATGGCTTCAAAATATTGTAAATGAACAAAGTGTCAAGATTTGACTTTCTAATGACTGTAATTTAAGTTTAATTTTAAAAATTCCCTCTTTAGGTCATTGGTCGTTGTTCATTTTTGGGCATCATGGGCTCAGCAGTGTTTGCAAATGAATGAAGTCATGACTGAACTGTCCAAAGAATATCCACATGTTATATTTGTAAAGGTAATTTTCACAAATAATCTGCCAAATTTTCTGCAATGTAACTGTCAAAAAGTGCATATAGTAAGTAACACAAAGGGCTTAGAAATTGAAAAATAAATCTTCTGTTTCTGCTGATAATTGAATCTTTTGGAGCAAAGCATTAATCTATAATTTTTATAGAACACTAAGAAAACAGATAAATCATCAACAATGTTTACGGAATCATAGAAACTTGCAGTACAGAGAGAGGCCAATTGCCCTACCTGGTCTGTGGTAGCCTAATCCTACTTTTTGTTCTTGATAACAAGTTTTTTTGTAGGTTATGCCATGTATATCCAAATATGTTTTAAATGTCATGGTTATTTTTGCCACTAACATTGACAGGCTTTGTGTTCTAGGTCTCTGTCATCATCTGGGTCACAAAAAAATTCACTTCTCTAAGCCACCTGTAAACTATTTCAATATTTGTTCCTAGGTATCAATACTATCTCTACCAAAGGATATAGGTCATTTGAATCAAACTATCAATTCTGTCCAACCATAGCTAAACTTCTCGCTCTCGCTCTCTCTCTTCTTCTCCTCCCCCGCCACCCAAGACAGCAGGAAATGTTTTTGACCCAGCCTGTGTGCTGGGAATTTGGAACTCACTGCCTGTAAGAGTGGTAAAGGCAAAAACCCTCCACATTTAAGAATCTCTAGAATTGGAATCCTTAGGTTCTTTTTGACTTGTGCAAACTGAATGGGCCAAAAGGCCTTTTTCTGTGTTGCAGATCTCTGACTCTACACCTGTAAAGAATTCTTAAAATAATAAAGTCAAGTGAGTGCAGAGATGACTGGTTGAGAAGTTAGGACAGAGCTAAAAGTGGTGAAAGACATTTAGCTATGTGAGTGAGTTGGAGTTGGGATATTTGCATGCAAATGTGCAAAGATTTTTCTTTTGAAATAAAAAGCCAGGGAAGTAGTGGCATTAGTTAGAATGTTTCAGTCCAAGCTACAACAATGCTTTAGCTGGCAAAAATGGCAGTTTTCCTCCCAGGATAAAATATTTTCAGCAGACAAAGAAAGAAAGAAGGAAGGAATGTTTGTCTTGGTATTAAGGTTCTGAATGCAACATAGGTTGTTGTTGTTGTTGTTGTTGTTGTTGTTGTTGTCCTACAGTGTGGAAACAGGCCATTCGGCCCAACAAGTCCACACCGCCCCTCAGAGCATCCCACCCAGACCCATTCCCCTGAATTTCCCCTGTCTAACCCATCTAACCTAAACATCCCTGGGCACTATGGGCAATTTAGCATGGCCAATCCACCTAGCCTGCACATATATGGATGGTGATGGACCACAGAAAATTGTGGCTGGCTTTTGTTGTAAACTTAGAAATTTGCAGTTCTAATAGCATTGGACTTTATCCTGTGATGTCACCTGATCACATTCCAATCCCATTTCCAAATTTCTCTTTTCTTTAAAATTTAGCTGGAATAGTTCAATGCATTTAGCTGGTGTGAATCTGCTTTTGAGATCTTGCGTGATCGATCTTGTATACATGTGGAGTTGTGGTGAAGTGTTGAGCATGCTTATCACTTCGTGTTTATTTTCTGTACTTTATGGTGTAAAAGTACAGACCTGCAGATGTACCCCTCAGCAGTTGGTCACTCTTTAACTGTGCAACGGACAGGAATTTGTTATATGCATGCTGAATTTACTTACACCGCCATTGTAACAACTGCAGCATAAACTGAGCAAATCTGATAATTTGTGGGTTGGCATCAGATTGTTGCTGAAACTTAATTGGTTTACTGAAATCCTTTGGTGAAGAAAACTTCCACCTTTTTCTGGAGAGAGCCACACTTGACCACTGAATCATTGTATGATTGCACATCCCTGAGGTCATTAAAAGTCAATGAATATTACCTTGCTGGTGTCATTGACATATAGAAGGAGGCCATTCAGTCCATCCTGACTGCACCAATTAAAAAATATCTCACTACACTATTCCCGTTTTTGAGCTCTTAGCCCATAATTCTGTTGACTATGGCAAAGCAAACAAATATTTAAATACTCCTTACATAGGGTATTTGAGAGTTTTTGACCATCATCATAGATTCCCTACAGTGTGGAAGCAGGCTATTTGGCCCATTGAATCCACACCGACCCTCCAAAGAGCATCTCTTCCAGACCCAGCCCCCTACCCTATCCCTGTAACCCTGCATTTCCCATGGCTAATGCACATCCCTGGTCACTGGGCAATTTAGCATGGCCAATCCACCTAACTTGCACTTTTTGGTCTGTGGAAGGAAACAGGAGCTCCTAGAGGAAACCCATCCAGACATGGGGAGAATGTGCAACTTCCACAAAGACAGTCGCCCAAAGGTGGGATCAAACCCAGGTCCCTGATGCTGTTAGCAGCAGTGCTAATCACTGTGCCAACCATTCTGTCAGGTAGCAAGTTCGAGTCCCACCAACGTTTTGGTGAGAACATTTCTCCTCAACCTCCCTCTTAGCCTTCTACCTCTTGCTTTGAGTCTGTGCCCCCTTGTTATTGCAGATTTCCATTGTGTTATAGAGGCCTTTGGCATTTGTCAGGAGAACAGGACATTTTGCTAAAAGCAGAAAAGAAATCTTTCTGGAATTAGTAGTCAAGACTTCCTAAGTCTTCAAAGTGTGTGGACATGAATGAAAATTGAGATTTTAATGTGTTTTTCAGCAAATTTCTGTTTGCAGCCTTAGGCACTGTGAAATGTGTAAGAAAGTCCATCATATGAAATTTGTCTAAATCATGGCAATGTGGAATTTTTGTGACCATCACATTGAATATTTTGTTATGCGAGCTTGTTTAAAAAATTATTTATTTTCTCTGCAAAAATGTTTAGCATGTGCAGATATAATATTGATTATATGAAGAACATTAGTTGTTTAAGTCCAAATTTGTTACAGTCATCTAGTTATGGACTTCTTTTATAGCTTGAAGCTGAATCTGTTCCAGAAGTATCTGAAAAATATGACATTAGTTCAGTGCCTACTTTCTTGTTTTTTAAGGTAAGATTTTACTTTGATACAGATTCTAAAACGTCAACTCCTTTTGAAGAAGCCCAACACCAGTTGGATTGTTTCTATTTTTAGGTTGCCATAGAAACCAGTTTCTAAGCTGCCTGAATTTTACAGTGATAAGAACCTTGACAAGTCGTAAAGTGCCAGTATAAATAATTTATTGTGATGTCTGTCTTTGGAAATTTTTCTTGAAATTCAGTTTTGTGACTTAACCCCATATAGTGAAGAAATATTTGTATGTTAATTGTAAAGTGTTTGAGGTTACAATTGATAAACACGCTTTGTAAGAATGTGATGAGCTGAACAATATTTATTCTAAACATTTTTGGAATTTTCTGAATGAATTCATTTTGAAAATCTGCAGGCTTTGCTAATGCAGCTCTGTTTTGCTTTGAGTTTTTGAAAGAGAAGACATATCAAGGATCAAAAGGTTGAGAGTCAATTTGTATCTGTTGCTAGTTACAGGGATTTCTGCATGTTGTAGGATTCATAAATTATAGGATTAAAAAGATTGATTTATATGTTGATTTAACAGTTAAGATCACCCAAAATGTTCTCACTCCATTTTTTCTTCCACATGACGTTTGTTTGTTTGTTTGTTTGTTTGTGTTAGTTTTAAATGATCATTGCAGTTTTGTCATTTGAGATTTTTTTTGAAAAGATGAGAGATTCCTCCTCTTCCCTACTCGTGGTTAGCTTCTGATTTTAAAGCTGTTGTGAAAAGTGGAGATGCTGCATATGAAGTGACAAAAATGATGAATAGCAAGACTCGGCTGGATCATTGAGCCAGTCCCATACACTCGTGATACAATTAAACATTGCAGTTCTCCATGATTCTCATGCCAGAAGCCTTGTAAATGCTGCTTTAGGTACTAATTTAGTTTGGAACTCTGGTAATACCAGGTTTTTCAAGTATTTCAAAAAGTAAACAGGTAGTTGAGACAAAAGTGCTGTGTTCTGATGAGCCCACAATTGATGCTATAATTTGTTTTCTCTAGGGTGTTATGTCAATTGCAAATTTCCAGTTTCATTTTAGTTTTAAAAACATTTCCGATTTAGCACTTAATTTTTTAGCACTATTGTCCATTTCCAAGTTTTACTGCATGGTGATCTTTGACTTTTACATAAAAGCGATCACCCTGACTGCAGTGGCTGTGCAAATTTTAATATATGTTAAAATAGTGTCTCTTGATGGAAATATAGTTCTAAGTGGTTATTTTTCAGAGTCACTAATATTGCTTTGCTCCAGTTGTGTCTTTGATTTAATCAAAGTGAATATGTTTGCTCCAGAATTGTCAGAGAATTGATCGAGTAGATGGTGCCCGTGCTCCTGATTTAACTAAAAAAGTGCAGCAGCACAGTGAGACTACCAAACAAGACTTGAATGAACAATTGGGGAAACTTCTAAATTCCGCGCCTTGTATGTTATTTATGAAGGGAACTCCTCAAGAACCTCGGTGTGGTAAGAGTAATTCTATTTTAAAAATGTAGCTGCAGAGTTTCATTAATAATTGCTATTCCAAATGCCAGGAATGTTTTTATTTGAACGTAGGATTAAAAACTGCTTACATATAGGATGTATAACATATTCAATTGTTACATTCTGATTAAAAGAAATTGGGCAATATACTTTGCATGTTCGCAAAATCATTCAGTGTAATGATCTCATTTAGCTAGCGCTGATTGATGTAATGTCTTATGCAAATGAGGCTGGAAAAAAGTAAGCCACTCAGCTCTTCAAGCTTTTCCGTCATTCAATAAGATCCTAGCTGCTCTGATTTTTAACCTCAACTCTACATTCAATCATACGCCCGATTTAATCTTTACTTCCCTTGATAATCGAGAATCTATCTACCTTTTGCTTTTAAAAAAAAAAAAAAAAAAATTCAAGATTCTGCATCCACTGCCTTTTGAGGTAGGGAATTCCAAAGAGAGTCAACTCGGAGAATTTTTTTTCTTTGTCTGTCTTAAATGGGTGACCCTTTACTTTGAAATTATGACCTCCTTAGTTCTAGATTCTTACAAAAGAGGAAACATTCTTTCCAAATCCACCCAATCAAATCCCCTCGGATTCTTCCATGTTTCAATTAAGTTACTTCAAAGTCTTCTAAACGCCAGGGGATACAGACCTAGCCCCTCTAACCTTTCCTCATAAGGCAATCTGCTCTTTCTAGGTTATTAGTCTAATAAACTTTTCACTGAACTGCATTCGATGCACTAACATCCTTCTGTAAGTACAGTGACCAGTACTATCCACATAACTGCAGTCTCCCCAATGCCCTGTAATAATGAAGCATAACCTCCCTACTCTTGCATTCAATCCCCCTTAATAAAATGTAACATTCACTTGGCTTTCCTGATTGTTTGCTGTATGTGCATACTGACCTTCTTCGATTCATGCACTTAGAACACACAGGTCTCTCTATCTTGAAGCTGTGCAACGTCTCACCATTTAAAAGTTTGAGATAGAAAGCAGTCATTGTATGTTATTCAGAAGTACAATTATGATTAAAATGTTACCAATTCAATTTTAATCATTCAACATAGTATTTCATTATTGTGTGTGCAAAAAGGTAAACATTTTCATTCTTTTAAATTCTCATGGCCACCAGGTTTCTTAGTATTTTGCAGCTATCGAAGAGCAATTGTAGTGTAGTCACTTTTTAATGTGGGGAATGCAGCATCCAATTTCCACGCTGTAACATTGGCAGAGAGTAATGTGTCATTATTAGGTCTGTCTTCTCTGCTGCTTTTCAAAATAGTGTCATCGGATCTTTTACCTAAGAGGACAAATGTGGCCTCAGTTTAGCATCTCATGTGAAAGACAGCACTTCTGACTGTGCTGTATTGCCATCAGTACTATACTGGTTTCAGCCATAAGTGTTGTGCTCCAATCCTGAAATGGGCTTCAACTCTCAATCTTCTGATTCAAGGGTGAGAGTGCTAACCAAACAACAGTTGATACTAAACATAAACTATTTGACTGAAATTTAGTTTGCCTGTTTACATTGGCTGTATTTGCTAATCTAAATTGTCATTTTGTGTGTAGTCTAATGAGACAGTTCCTTTGTTTCTTTTGAAGTTAACATTAGTCTAACAGAATTAATTATTTTGTCACTGTTTTAAAAAAAACATCCTGACTGTGTTTAACTCCTCACTTCTCTAATTCAAATAGTTAATCAAATAGTGTATATTCCAGTTTGGGGTTCTATGTCCTTTCCATCTGGCTGTTTAAGTCATTAGTCGAACAATCATTAATTATCTTAATGCATTCAAGTTTTTATTCTACATTGCTGTTGTGTAGTTTAAGAAAAGATAGTGAGATAAATTTGATTTTTTTATTTTGGGGCTTACATATTGAATGCAAATATTTCTGTAGGAACAATACACGTGCCTCCATTCCCTAAACACTTTGCAGGCAACCGTCCTTCCCTAAGGGACAGATGTCAATTTTCACCATTTTCTGTCCGCAGTGTTGCAACTCTTGAGCCAACTTGTTAACGATTTACAAAAAACTGTTTCTTTTAATGGCTGTTGTGTTGATCAATCAAATTAGTTTGTGTTTGTTAATTTTTCATAAAGTTGATTTTTTTTTTTAAAAAATGAACTAATGGTTTCTTTATGTCTCAATTATTTACCCCTTGTCTTTTTTTACAATAATTGATTACTGTACAGAAGGAGACCATGTATGTGTTCTGAAAGAAGTGAATATATATATCTCAAGATGGCAAAATACAGTAGTACTTTTAAACATACTCATTTCACTTGAAGAAACATCCAAAAGTATGCTTCACTATTATTTTGTATTAAGGTTTGTTTTCTTCAAAATTGAAGTCAATGGGAATCATGGAAAACTCTGCACTGGTTAGAGTCGTACCTAGTAGAAAAGAAGATGGTTATGATTGGTGGAGGCCAATCATCTCAGACCCAGGGCATCGCTACAGCAATTCCTCAGGCCACTATCCTAGGCCCACCCATCTTCAGCTGCTTCATCAATGAACTTCCCTCTATTATAAGGTCAGAAATAGGGATGTTCGCTGATTGATACTGAACAGCATGCGTCCACAATTCTCAGACACAGAAGCAGTCAATGTCCATATGCAGCAATCCCTGAATAACATTCAGACTTGTACTGCTTAGTGGCAAGTCCAATGTATTGCCCATCTCCAACATAAGACTATACAACCATTTCCCCAAGGTATTTACTGGCGTTATTATTACTGAATTCCCTATTGTCAACATTTTGGGGCTGACCATTAACCAGAAATCAAATTGGACCTGCCATATAAATACTGTGGCTATAAGATTGGGTCACAAGCTGTGAATGCTGAGATGGGTAACACTCCACCTGGCTCCACAAAGTCTGTCCACCATCATCAAGACACAAATCAGGATGTGCTGGAATTCCCTCCATTTGTCTGTTTGAGTGCAGCTCTAACAAAACTCAAGCTTCACACTACCCAGGACAATGTAGCCTGTTTGACGCCCTTTCAACCCAACTAAACATTCACTCCCTCCACCATCATTGGAGAGTGGCAGCTATATACAAAATATACTGCAACAATACACTGAAACTCTTCTGATGTCACCTTGCAAATCCATGATGTCTAACACGTAGAAGGACGAGGGCAATAAACATGAGAACACCACCACCACCTGCAAGATTTTCTCCAAGGTACTATCCAACTTGATTTGGAAGCATATTTCTGTACCTTTGTTGTTACTGGGTTAAGACAGCTCTTTCTTTTCCTTGCTCTAATTATTTTTGGTTGTGTGGCACTTTGATTTCTTTTATTTTTGAAGCTGACAGACTGCAAGTCTTCACTTAAAGTTGTAGTTACATTCCTGAAACTCATGACTCATAAGTGAAGTGACTCATAAGTGAAGCAACTTTTAAGCAATTCTGATTTTGTTTTTCCATTAGAACCAAAAGAAAACTGTAGTTGGATTCTGCTTGACCTTTCTCTACAGAGAAAGGATTAAAACATTATACCATGTTGAAATGCTTCCATCAATAAATTCCTAAATTAGTAAGAAATAAGAACAAATAAGTTTAAAAGATATAGAAGTAGCATAGCAATCACCCGCTTGCTGCCCAACCTGCTTGCCATCAGTCTTGCTGACTGAACTTGCCTCTCGCTGCACATGCTGTTCTGATCCACCTAGTTACTGTGGATCCTTCCTCATCCACCCTCAAACATGTGGACTCTCCTGCTTATCTTGCTGCTGACTCTCATACTTGCAGCCTCTGTTGCTCTTGGACTCCCCGTTTCATTGAACCTGCCAGTTTAAATACTCCCGTTCGCTGCATCCCTCTCTTGAACAGGAATGCACTTTCAGGATCCAGACCTGTCCAAAACTAAATCCCTTGGATAACAAAAGTGCAGGTCCCAAAGGTAAAGAATCGCCAAGCCAGTGATGTTGAATAGCTATTTTGTTTAACTGTATACTATATGTGAAACCAGGAATGGGTTTATTTTAGCTAAATATCATTGTCTGCTGGGTATGTTTCCACTATGCTTCGCTATAACCAAGGTTCTAGTCCTGCCACAGCTGCTTCTGTACAGTTGAGACCCATATTGTTACGACTTTGGAGGTTGGATCTGAACTGGGACTTAGGACCTTACTTGAACAGGAGCCTAGATTGAGTGCAGGGAAATGGGGAATGAGAGGTTTGGTAATGGCAAGGAACAGTAAACAGTTAAGTCAGGAAGTGACAGGTCACGTGTTTTAAGTTCAGCAACAAAGAAAGGGGTCAAGGAACTGGGCTATGCTGTTCCAAAATGGTGCTGATTGGGTCATGTGGCTTGTTGTAAGACTGTAAGGAAATGACTTTAAAATGAACCTTGTGATGCTAAATGAAAATATTTACTCTGTTGACCATTTAAATGGGTTATGTTTAACTAGGACCTGCAAACCTTCCAGCATGACTTCCCTTCTGTGATTCCAATAGAAGTGTAGGTTAAATCCTTAAATAAGCCAGAACCCACAAATGCAAGAATGCAGCATTTCCTGGTTGTTTTCAGGGTGTCTTGTGTGAAGTTAGAGTTCCTCCAGTCATAAGTCGTCACTACTACTTCATCTGAAGGGAGTTTTGTGTAAGTTTGTGTAACATGACAGAAAACTCACTTGCCTCATGAAGGACCCAAGCGTGGGACTTGGAAAGATTCCTGTACCTCTCAGTTTTCGGGGGGAAAAAAAAAATCTCTCCTGTTTTGAGAGATGCAAGAGGTAAGTCTATTATGATCAGTTGACTGCCTTGATCCCTAACCATACTATGCTGGGTCAGCTGTGGTGGGTGCAATCCCAGTACAACTGACAGACTCTATATCTAAAATAACGTCAGATTGAACATCTTCGGGTTAGTAATGCTGCACATCTTCCTGCTGCAAAAATTGGGCCTGAAATTTCTCAAAACTGCATCAATCTTAATCTGTTGTATCCTGTTTTGTTTGGCAGGCTTCAGCAAGAAGATTGTGGAAATTCTCAACGAGCATAATATTCATTTTTGCAGCTTTGATATTCTTTCTGATGAAGATGTGCGTCAGGGCCTAAAAGTTTACTCTAACTGGCCTACATATCCTCAACTGTATGTGAATGGAGAACTGGTGGGGGGACTTGATATTGTAAAGGTTGGTACTGTAGTATTTGGGTCATGTGGCAAAAAAGTATGCTTTATAGCTTTTTATTGAAACCAAGGCAGAACAGCTTGTCCTAGTAGCTTTGGTAAGATGAAGTCCAGCCACATGGGTGAAAAATAATTAGCCTAAAAATGAAGTGTGTTCTTTTATTTCTGAAATTCTTCATTTTAAAAATTGAATATTTTGACAAAACCATACAGGAAGCATAACTGTAGCTTTTTAAAAAGCTTATTTCATCAGCTGTTTAGTAGGTAATTTTGATGTTTCATTGCACACAAGGATGATTGTTATCCAAAAAGAAGGTGATCACTGTTTTAGACAATGGACAGGGTCTAATTAAAAATGCAACCTTGATGGTTGTGCGTGTTCAACAAACAGTCGAATAACTTTATGGGCCTAAGCCACCCATTGAAGTTCAACTCACATTGAAATTCACAAGCTAAAGCATGATGCCATAAAAAAAACTATAAAAGTCACAAGCGTGGCCCATATATGGTCAATGAAATTACTGTAAAAGGTTTAAACAAACTCTAGCTGTCATTTCAGAAAACCATAACTAAATCAAACAAAGTATTTCACGGGTGAGTTTGCAGTCAGCTGCTTAGTTAGAATTTCTGTCAAAATCCATGTGATTAAAGGCTTCTGAACTGTTAATATAGTGTCTAATTAAGCTCACATTATCTTTTGACCACGAGTGCAATATGCTGAATTGATATTTTAAAATTACTTTAAACCAAAGCTTAACAGTAACACTACTTTTTTGCTTTCTGCATATCAATATTAATCCCCAGATTCTCTCCTAGGAGCTAGCTGAAACTGGTGAACTGGAAAAAACTTGTCACAAGGAAATGCGATTGGAAGAAAGGTAAAGTAATGGTTGTTACTGCAATGGATTTGATGTATTTTATGCAGCAAGAAATATCATGACCACACCTAATGTAATCTTTTAACCTGTTTTTTTTAATTCTTTTAAAACATTTAGATTTAAATGTGATACAAAACATCATAGCTACATTCCACAACACTTTGTATTCAGTATCTTTGTATTTTTAGGTTGAAAGCACTGATCAACAAATCAAAAGTCGTTCTGTTTATGAAAGGAAACAAAGCAGTATGTATATTTTTATTAATTAACAGCTCAAATTCAAATAGTGATTTATGTCATGCACGAATATTTTGTATAAATATGTATACACTCTCAACTAATAGTTGTCAATGGTGGCACATGTGAGACCTGAACAAACCATGTCAAAATTTAAGTAGTTTTCAACGTGCTACCATGAAGAAATCAATGCATATTGATTTTATTCTTCTTTTAAGGCATGTTTTAGCTGCAGTGTTCCTTTAGTGTGGTTAGGGGAAGGTGCTACTTGCCTTGTTATGCCACCATTGCGTTGCTGCTTACTACTCTTAGGATTCTGCACAGTCTGGAGGGAAACAACATCAAGGCATATTTCAGCTTTTTTGGGTGCCAAACAAGCATTTTAAAAAGAAACATTAAGAACATGACCCTAGTCACAGTTGTCAATGTTGTTTGTAATTTTATTCTTAGTTGGCAAAATGTGGATTCAGCCGCACTATTGTGGGAATACTGAATGAAACTGGGTATGTATAAGCATTTGGACTACAAATATAGTTTATTAAATTAATGTATTAACTTTTATTCTGGTTAAATTGGAGTTTAACATTTTACTTTCTTAATATAGTGTTGAGTATGAAACGTTCGACATTTTGGAAGATGAAGAAGTAAGTTCTGCTATGTTTTAAGCTATTGTACGTGAAGTGAACAATTATGGATCTGAGCTCTGTGTCACCCCTCTGATTGGAATGCCTCTGCTCTGTGGAAGCATAAGGCATGTCAGTTTCAGCTGGGCCTTCCTGCCTCCTGCATTGATGTGGAAAATGATCCCATTTATTATGTAAAGCAACAGTTTCATAACAGTGCAATGACCAAAATTTTATGTATTTTTATTAGCAATCGAAATCTTCACTAGGATGCTGTGCGACCTGTGAACTGAACCTCATTCCGAAAAACAATTAATGAGTTGCAGCGTCCCATTTCACTGAAATGGAAGCTTCTCTATCAGATATTCTTAATGGAGACCTGTTTTACCACTGTCAGTATTTATCTGTATTACCTATTATGCTTTTAGGTGGTGCTATGATTGGTATTTATACTGTTTAAAAGTCTGTTACAGTAGCAGTGGGTGTAGAAGCTATCATGTGCTGTGTTTTGGGCAGTCACCCTGCAATTTTTCTGCAAAGCCACTAGGTGTCAGCAACTAAATGGCATTATCAAATCACATCGTGCACATGTGACAGAAAGCAAGTAACTTCTTGCTGTACGTAACATTGAAATCTAAGCGTATTATGAAGATTCTTCCATTTTCTAGAAATATAAAATGAATTTAGTGACTGATTAATTAAGAACGTATCTTAAGAAGATCTTAACATACTTAAAAAATTAAATTCCCGCTTTGGGTATTTGCTACTTAATTTATTTTCAAAACATAGTCATTTGTTGCCTTAAGATTGCAAGTCTTACAATATGTCCTGTGACAGATCTGACCTAAAGTGCAAAATGTCACTGCTTTGAAATACTCCTCTGAACAGCCAATCAATAGTTTAAAAAAATCAGGATAGCTAACTGCTGAATAGTAAAGTTGAGTGTTCCACTTTTATGTATTGGACTGCTAATTACTTGGTGATCTTAACTTTTTAATTCATGTACACACTTTTTTTCACAGGTGAGGCAGGGGTTAAAAAAATTTTCCAACTGGCCAACATACCCACAATTATATGTGAATGGTGAACTTATTGGTGGGCTTGATATTGTGAAGGTAACTTTAGTACATTGTTAAATATAAAATTGGAAGGGCTTCACAGCAATATCCCTTGTTTTATTGTATCTGCAGGAAAAATAAACTCTCTTTCTTCAAAGGAAGAACTTTGCGTTGACATAGCATTTCATAACTGCAATGACACAGGCAGACATTTTGTACATAGCACATGCCACAGGCAGCAGTGGAATAAAACAGGACATTGGTATTTTGTTGATACATGAATGTTGGCTATTTTCATCAACTTGAAGAGGCAGATTTAATGTCTTTTCTGAAAATGAAACCAATGACTATGCAGCACTCCCTTGCCATTGAGGATAAAATAATAAACATGTTTATAGTTAGAAATTAAATCAAATGTTACCATCTGAACTTGCTCTTTCTTCAGTTCCTTTTATGGTTTAGTTGATATGTTGGCAAAGCAAAAAGGTAGAAGTATCATTAATCTTGGGTATGAACTTCCACTATATGGTCTCCCTGAGAGAGTAAAGTTAGCATCTGTGAGAGGAACCTGCTGTTATTTTCAACTGAGTACTAGGAAGGAGCTGTAGGCAGGCATCCTTTGTGGCTTGGGTGGAATAAAAGGAAGTCGTACAGCGCGTTCATCATAATATTATAGATAAAAATGAAAAACTGAATCCAGTGATTATTTAAACTTCATAGGGTGTTAAGAGCTGTTGAAGGGGAAACAAACTTCACCAACCACAAGAACATTAAGGTTTTTGAAAACTGCTTTGCAGTGAAGTTGCGAAAATCCTATTTGGAGCTAAAGAAGATATGGAGACCAAGAGTTTTGGCAGTGATCAGGGTCTTAAAGCAGAGCCAATTAATGATGTCATAGTTGTGGTGAGGCTGCAAAAAAATGTGAAAAGCCTTTCTCCTGAAAAGTTGAAAGGATCAAAATTGTTGGCCTTTTTTTTTTTTGAGCAATAATGACAGCAGCTAGTGTAATAGGTTATGGAATAGTTTGGCGGGTATGTGGTTGAGGGAAGATAATAAATCAGTGAGCTGGGTGGTGATAGCGTATTTGTGTATGTTGGCAGAAGATGGTGGAAGGGAAATAGAATTTTGGTCACTCGGTTGGGATGGTGTCAAGTTTTAAAGTCATTTAGGAGATGGGGATTTTTAGTTTGAATAGTGGGTAATTTGCTCAACAGAAGCGCAAGCTTCCAGGTGCATCAGGACTTCAGAGGGGTCCAGTAGCACATCTTCAAAGGCAGCTTGCATTTGGAAGACCTGGGCCAATATTGTGCCAATAAATGGCACGGATTAGCTGAGGCAGTGGCGTTTGAAACATTGCATGACAAAAAGACTCTTTCTTTCTTTGTCTCTGACTACTAGAGAATGATAGATGTTGAATGGAAAGATTACCAAAACAGTGACGGGGTGTGATTTTCATTCATTCGTTCATTGATTCATGGGATGTGGACTGTGTTGGCCAGACCAGCATTTGTTGCTGTCTTCAAAGGTGATGGTGAGCTGCCTCCTTGAATTGCTGCTGCCCTTTGGGTGTAGATACTCAGTATTAGGAAGGGAATTTCAGGATTTTGAGTCAGCCACAGTGAAGGAACGGCAGCAATATAGTTCTGGTTTCAACTGTGGGTTGGAAGGGAATATGCAGCCTCAGGCTTTTCTTCTTGGTGGGAGAGTTTGCAGGTTTGGTACATGCTGTTAAAGGAGCCTGGGTGATTTGTTATTGTACTTCATTCAAAGACTCACACTCCAGAGCAGAATTCGAGTTATTTTAAGGGTATAAACATTATATTACTTGTATAATGGTTTTTTGTTGCTGTAAAATTGGTATTTGATGAGCAAATTAATAGCATGTTAAGTTGGGAAATGGGCAGAACACTTAAAGAAGCATTGACTCAAAGAAAAGTTGTAACTATGTGGAAAATGAACTGAGAGCCAAAATTGCACATATTGGTGTATCCCACTACTCTTTTATAAATCAGACCTTTTATATATCAGTTAACATACAGGTTTTGCATAAGTACTGGTAGTACCATGTTGTATTGTTTTAGATTCTATTTCATATATGCCAACAATAACTTTTTTTTTGAAAGTGCTGCCTAAGTATCCCAATAAAAATTTTATTGGCATAACTGCATGGGCATTGTATAAGACATGCTGAATTATTTTGCAGTGCGTTGCTATAAATATCTTGGATACCAATTTTCATTTTAAAAACAATATACTTAAAGCTTGGATAGACTGCATCCTAATTAAATGTTTATATAAAATCTGGATTTGGCATTCATTCCAAATAGAATTAGGAGACCAAATCTAAGAAATTTTTCATGAAAGTATTAATATTTTATAGCTATTAGTTACAGTTGAGATGGTATCGAAACTTTTGTCCATTTTAAAAATCTTGGATTCATTTTTCTAGTGATTGAATTAATGGGTAACAGAGGATGCACATACTACAGTGTACAGTCCTATTAACACTTCCATGAGTGTAACAGAACAGGACAACAGCTGTGGAAAGAAAATAGGGAGAGTAGAGCTTAGAAACCACACATTCCTGTGTGAACAGTGTTTAATGACATGTTATCAGAATGTTCATGTTTTTTGATATAATAGTTGACTCTGAGGCAATGCAATAAATATACAACTTTTTTGTTTTACAGGAATTGGAAAAAAGTGGAGAGCTTCTTTCAACCTTAAAAGGAGAAAATGCTAGTTAGAATTTTACAAAAAGAACAATCACCATCATACATAATGTCAATTTTAAAAATTGTTCATTGGCAATAATGTGGTCTAAAGTCAGGTAACAGAATAGTGATTATAAATCATTTTTGATGTTTTCATGCTTTGGTAATTCATGAATAACAAGGTAGCATAAAGGGAGCAAAATGCAAATGTTAGAACAGTAAAATATTATACCTCTTTTATTATAATAAAACATTACTGTTATATATGGTGTGACTTTTTATTGCACAGTGAATATAAGAAATGTTCACCACTTTAAGCACAGTCTGGTGAAATAATTATTAGTAAAAAGGTCCAACTTTATATTGTGCAGAGTTCAAGTAACTTTAACGTGCTGTTAATATATTTGCATGCAAATTAATTGTGCGCTTTGGTCATTTGTTTCTATGTTTGTGACTTATTTGATAAATAAATAACAAGTTTATTTTTGTTGATGCCCAGTGAGCCACATTTAGACACGGCTGTGAAAAACCAGAATTTTTAAAAAATTGATCCAAAGTATCTCAATAGAATCTTTTATTAGTATACCTGCTTGGGTATCATGCATAAAGTGCTGAACTATGTTGCCATCTCTTGCTATAAATATTTTGAGACTAATTTTCATTAAAAAGCTACTTCAATATGAGTACAGTGCATTTTAATTAAATGCTTAAACTTAATCTAGATTTGGACATTAATTATGCCTGTCAACTATCAATTTTCTAGACCTTCACTTAAAAAAACAAAATGCTGCCAAGGTTTGAAAAATTTGTGCGATTAATTATTCTTTATGTAAAAAAAAAATACATGAATACAGCCTTTCAACTAAATATTTACAAGTTTGCCATATATTACAAAGCTTTAGATAACTACAGAGCTCTAAATTGCAAATAAACTAAGATTTTAAAAACCTCATTTCTAGTAGCATTAGAAATAGTGCTAGGTGGGGAGGAATTGGATGTCAGTATCTCTAAGAAGTTGTTCTCTTTTGAATTTTGAACCAAGAATTGGCACTGGGTTCAAAAATAATGTCACCAAGCTAGGTACCACAACTATTGCCCATTAAGGAGGTGGTTCTGAATCGGGTAGCAAATTCGGGTTAGTCATATATTGTGAGGAAGGTAAAATACTTTTAGATGTAATGATTTTTATGTATTTGGGAGGTTGATGTTGTGCAGCAAGAGGCCATTTGGTCCATCTGCCTGTGCCAGTTTTTTTTTTTGTCCAAATGATTCCATTTGTCTTTCTTTCAATCCAGTAGCTGCAGTTTTTTTTATCAGCATTTTATTATTGCATTTACCTCTACCACTGTTTCAGCAGATTGTCATAATTCTTTGCATTAGGACTAATCTACATCTTTGGTCCTGTTGCCAGTTGCTGTAAAACTAGTTTTTGACCCTTCTCTCACTAAAAAGTCTTGAACACATTAAAAAAATCTAACTTTCCCAGTGTCTCCATATAATTGAAGTCCTGCTGCCTGGTATCATTTGAATTTTTTAAAATATTTATGCATTTTACAGATGTTAAATATTTATTTTGTATCTAAACATAGTGTTATCAAATAACACTTGGCTGCCAGTCTATAAAGATTTATAGGGACAACATAACCTCTCTATTTTGGTTTTAAGGAGCATTTTGAAATGGTTTAAGCAGATAGAAATTAAGAGTTTTGGACTGGAATGGTTGGCAGTGGTATTACCGATTTGGGAGCGTTATAAAAATGTTTGCACATCTGTCCCTAGGTTTCTTGTTTCAGATCTACCTTTAAAACTGTACTATATTTTCTATTGTCTTTCCTCATTCATCTCTCCAAAAATGCATTATTTCACACGTTAATGTCACCTACTGTTTGTGCGCTCATTTCACCAGTTTGTGTCCCCTTGAAGTCTGGTATTCTCATTACGTTCACTGTGTATTTCTAAGTTCCATGTCACCTGCAAAATTTTAAAATTTTCCCTCTTTACCCAAGTCCACCTGATGAATAGATATTTTTTTAAAAAAAGCAGTGATCTAATTGTTGATCCCTGGGGGACACTGCTGTATACTTTCCACATTTCAGTCTGAAAAATAAATAATGAATCTTTCTGAAATATTGAAAACTTTGCATCCAATTGCCACTGCTCCCTTAATCTCATTGACTTCAGTTTTGCTAATAAATGTCATGTATTGCTCTATCAAATGAACTTTTGAAAGTCCATATAAGGAATATTAATGTACTATGTTTATCAACTCTGCATTACTTCACCAACACACCTTTATCAAGTCTGTGCTTGCTGGTCACTTATAGGTACACATTTTTGTAAATGATTTGCTGTAAATGGTTCCCTAACACTGACACTTGCTGGATTTATCCTTTCTGAACATGGATATAAACAACATTTACATGCCTACTTGATGTAAGGAGGACTGCAAGATAAAAACAAAATGTGGGAAACGCTCCAAGTGAAACAGTTAACATTTTAAGTCAATGATCTGGAGCTCATTAAGAGCTGGAAAAGTTAGAGGTGTAATAGACTTAAAGCAGCTAAATTTTTAACCACTGTGTTAATGGAAAATTCAACCTGTTTGAGGAGGAGTTTTGTGAAATTGTTTGGATTCTACTTTGCGATTAAAGACAGTTCAGAAATTTTCTGAGGCAACCAAGGACTGGACAGTACCAACAAGCCTTATGGCAGTACCCCCTTTTATATAATGTAAGATGATTTTGTGATTCCTTGTGATAGATATTCTGATAGGTTTATTTATCTATTTGTTTAAAAGTAGCTTTAGTGTAGTTGTCACCCGTTACAGCATACTTCCAGGACAGGTGGGACTTGAACCTTATACCTTCTGGCTGAGAGAGAGTAATTTTGTGCCACACTAGTTCTCAACAGCTTCACTATTTACCTTTCCTGTACTTAAAAGGAAACTGCCAACATCCTGACAGCTGCTATTGTGGAACTTTTATCTTTAAACCACAAGGCAGTTCTTGGAAAAGCTATAATGTAATGTAAAACAAAGATTGAAATCTGACCTGCTTATGACTGAACTTGGCCTAACACTTAAGTCTGTGACCAAATGCATGGGATTATAACTTTTTGAACAAACTATTAAATTATGTTTCAAAATCACATGAATCTAAATTATGCACTGATAGCTGATGACTGAGTGTGTAACATTATGCTGGACCCATCACTGATTCCTTGCAATTAAATTTTTTCTTCAGTTAAGAAATATTTCTTTTATCTGGCCCCTTTTTATCCAGCTAGCAGACTTATTTTAAAGTAAGGGCAAATTTTTACATGTCCAGGTGTCAGGAAATGCTCTCCCAGTTGAATCATGTATAATCTCCCAGTGTTGGCTTTCAGCCTTCACTCAAGCAGCAAGGCCTTCTAATTTTAACCTACAGGAAAATGGGCACGTCCCTCTTTTTTGTTTGAATCTACAAGTGCTCATATGCACAACTGAACTTTTTTTCCTTCACATCACCAAATCACCTGTGGTATTTTTCATTGCCATTAGTAAATCACCTGATTGATTAATTTACATGCAAAGTTAAGGACAATGCAAACCATTGTCTCTTTTAATTCTGAGACTGAACGTGTTTCAGGTTCCTTGAACAATACTCGCAATATCCTAATGTTATGATCCCAGCTGATATTATTACTGGGCAAGTCAGATCCCAGAATTAAATCTGGCTTGTTTCTTTTTTTCTATAAATATGGTGGTCTCTTACTGAAACACCAATCTGCAGTCTTGCATGTTTAACAATGAAATATGTTTGTGTGAAAGATAGATAGGTTGATTTCTTTTTCTATGTATCACAAATGAAAAGGTTTTCAAACACCTGGCAAAACAACACCCCATTCTATTTTCCAATACCATCCTTTTCACAGGTATTCAAAATTCTTCTTCTTTACCAAATTTGTAGGTTGAATTTAAAATGTGTTGTTTTTGAAACATTGATATCACACCTTTCATCATACTTATTCCTGCTCACATTTGGAGCATTGGTCTAAAAAAACTAACTTCTGATTCATTAGCCTATGACCAGCTGTGCAGCCAGAAAGAAAGGAAATGTATGATTTTTTTTTTTTCTATGCCTCACGTTGCCCCTCTTGGACAGGATCCCCATGCAAAATGTCCTTTTGACTGTTAGAAGATCTATAAACAGATGCAGAGTCTTCACTTCCTGAGGGGCTCTTGTGGTGCAGTAGTAGTGTCCCACTTGCTCCAGAGGTGTGTAATGACATCACTAAACAGGTTGATTCGAACGTACCCTCAATTCCTGATCACAAATATGAAATCAGAAGTTTCAAGATTCCCTCAATATGGTTCTATCTGACTGTCTCTAAAATCATAGGTATTGGTACCATGACATGCTTCTTGACCTCTGATAGTTACTGGTTTCTAGGTAATTTATTTTGCCCAAATCCATTATAAGACATTTCATTTCTGTTTAAGTGTTTGTGAAGGCAAATTAACCATCACTATTTTCCACTCACTTAACTCTTGTGTTCCCACACATTTAATAACAGCCAATTTGATTTGATATATGCTAAATGTACAATCACATCGCACAGGCTAATAATAATAATAATAATAGTAACATACTGCCAAAGATTTATCCATTACATTATCATTCTAGACTTTTGGTCTGTATTATACCACCAACTATAATATGTGTTCCCCTGCACTGTGTTGCCATATATGTTTCTGATTATGCTTTCCTGGAATGAATCTACAAACACAAGATCTACATCTAAACTCTTATCCTTAGTGCGGATATCAACAGCTCACAACTTGTTTTTTGGTGATATTATTATTAGTCCAATTGTAGCTGACACTGATTTCTCCTGCAACTGAAATTTATAAATGTATACTTGCAGCAGAATCACTGAATAGCAATAAAAAGCAGGATAATTTTTTTCCAGTCCTTAAACCAGGACTTCTGTGGATCATTGGATATCTGAGTATTAAGTAGGCATTGAAGAGGGGACAGCACCACTTTGTATTGCTCAGTTATTCACTAAGTAAATTGAGACATTGCAGGCCTTTGGAATCCTTTATTCACTGGTCTGGATTTTAAACTGGCCAGACATAGATAGGATTTGCACATAGGAACCCTGCAAAATTCCCATTATAACAGACTCTGAAGGCATGCTAAGGAAACTGAACATTCCCCTGTTTTTCATGCCTGCAACACTTCCAAAAGTCTCCATTTAAATCAGAGATTTAAGAGGATTCTGATAAAATTAGGTAAATAATTTAGTCAGGAAAGGCCAGATTATTAAGTACATTGTCTGACTCCTGAGTAACTATTAAACTGATCCCACACTTAACTCACACCGTAGATGTATCCACTGGACACTGGCACCTCTCAAGGACCTAACCTCTTCCTCAATCCCCCCACCCCTGGCTGGATAGGTGTCCCCTCTTCCCCCACCAATCCCTGCTGCATCTGTCCTTTCATTTAGAATATTTAAGGTGGATAGATAGGATCTTAATTAGTAAGGGAAGGTTTAAGGGGAGTAGGCAGGAGAAGGGGATTGAGAAACATATCAGCCATGATTGAATGGCAGAGCAGATTTGATGGTTTGAATGGCCTAATTTGACTCCTATATCGTATGGTCTTGCCCCTGCTACTACCCTTCCCACTAACAGACCAAACCTGCCAACAACCCCTACCAGACCTGACTGCCCATCCACAGGACCAGTCAAGGCCCCCTCTGCCTGCCCCCCCTTACCCCTTATGCGGGGTCCAGCCTCCATTGGACCCAATTTCTCCTAATTACCCTGGCCTAGTCTAAACACTGCGTCATTAACCTTGTATCCTGGCACCCTATCCCCATCCTACTTGGCATTCTATTCATCTGGCATCCTTTCTCTGCTAGCTGGCATTCTATCCTTGCCACTTACCCAGCTGGCACACAGCTAGAAAATGCTGTCATTGTAACTATTTAATTATAGTTATTACAGCTTTCAATTATTAATCAGGATAAACAGGGAGAGAAAAAAAGCTTGCATTTATGTTGCACCTTTTGCAACAACAGATGTCAAAGCATTTTATACCTGATCATGTAGCGTAGAGTCTACTTTTGAGGTAGAGTCATTGTTGTAGTATAGGAAATAAAGCAATCAATTTGATCACAGTGAGCTCCCATAAGCAGTAAGGTGACAAGGATTTAAAACATTTTGGGTGGGAGACAAATACTTGTCAGGAAGCCAGGGATAACTCCCCTGCTCTTCTTTGAAATAGTGCCGTGGGATCTTTTATGTCCACCTCAGAGGACAGTTGGGACCTCATTAACATTTTAAGAGAAGGGTGGCACCTTTGACATTGCAGCACCCAGTATCACATTAGAGTGTCAGCCTTGATTTTTGTGTTCAAGTTGTTAAATTATTTATTAGAAATTGTTGAAAGTGCAAACACTTCGCCTGGAACATTTTTAATGCTTGAATTCAC